TTTTTTTTTCCTATCTTGCTGCCTGCGTTTCCTTTGCCTTATTGTACTTACTGCATCATCTAAGCTTGTGTCCCGTGATATCATTATATGTTGCATAGGTTTTTCACAGTCACTTTCTTTAAACTTCATCACTGCTACATTTGAATTGCCCTTGAAAAAAAAACTAACTTGTAATAATTTTAAGATTTGGCTTCCTCATGATTCTGGCTTATTCATCTTTACCTATTTAAAAAAAAACAAAGTATTATATATTTATATGACATCATGTTCCTGAAATTTTTTTTCAGTGGTAGTGGTAGGGGATATTTCTCCCATGAAAAGTCCTTGGATTTAATTTAACAGAAAGTGCAACAGATTTTTAAAATTTTATATGTTATTTGAAAAACAGTGATAACAAATGTCTTTAAATGCATGTGTAAAAAGTGATTCTTTTTAGTGGATTGTTTTAAATTTTTTGGCATGCATACATTATTAGAAGTACATTTATTTTCTAAGGGAAGAATGTTTACATAACTCAATATAATTTCATGAAATATAACTTAATTGTTATTAAAATATAAGTTATTAAAATATAACTTAAATACTTTTTCCTGCTTTAGAGTCAGAAATGGGAAGGATTCAAAATGAGATTTCAAAAAAGCGTAGTTAAGGCAAAATAATCTATGAACAGACAAGAAGTCCATAAATGAGTCCTTGATATTCCTTGTTCATTGTGCTCAGATAACAAAACAAATGTACATTTAAAAGAATCTTAATGATTTATATTTGAAGGAATCTATTTCAAATGATTAAATTTTAGAACTTGAAAGTTCTTTTAAAATTATCTAATATAAACTCTCTGTGCAAATAAGTAGATTCAAGCTCAGAGAAATGAAGTTGACTTGCTTAAGTTAGTTGTAGGAGAGTAAAATTTGGATCCCTTGATTACTGTCATTGCTTTTTCTTCTATAATATATATTCTATTTCTTTTCACAAGATTGGTAGATAGACTAACAGGTACACAGATATTTTTACTCAATAGGCCATTCTGTGCACAATTTTTGAATATCCAATTTATTTTTCATGATTTAGCTTACAATTCTTAGGGAAGAGATTTTATTAACTTTAATATTTATAAGATGTGTCTACTAGGTACGAGGCACTCTTCTGTTTTCAGAAAGTGAGTAGTTCTGTATAGGAAATAAGCAGGATGTTATCATCTTTAGAATCTGACGACGTAGGAAGTGGGTACTTTTTGAGATAGGTGGTGATAGAGTTTGGATGTGTTGTCCCCACCAAAACTTATGTGGAAATTTGATCCTCAATGTGGCAGTGTTAGAAACTGATTGAGTCATGGGGGCAGATCCCTCATGAATGGAATTATGCTCTCCCTAGGTGGGGGAGTAAAGAGTGAGTTCTCTCTCTGTTAGTTCCTGCAAGAGCTGGTTGTTTGAAAGACCCTGGCACCTCCTCTCTCTCTCTTGCTTCCTCTCCTGCCGGCTGCCTGCCGCTTTCCACCATGAGTAGAAGCAGCTTGAGGCCTGTGCCAGATGCAGCTGTCCCAGAATCATAAGGCAAATAACCTCTGTTCTTTACAAGTTACCCAGTCTCAGGTATTCTGTTATAGCAACACAAACGGACTAATACAAAAAATTGGTACTGAGTGGGGTGTTGCTATACAGATACCTGAAAATGTGGATACAGCTTTGGAACTGGGTAATAGGTAAAGCGGAGTGGGGTGTTGCTATACAGATACCTGAAAATGTGGATACAGCTTTGGAACTGGGTAATAGGTAAAGGTTGGTGGAGTTTGGAGGACTCAGAAGTAGACAAAACGATGAGGGAAAGTTTGGAACATTTTAGAGATTGGTTAAATGGTTGTGAACAGAATGCTGACAGAAATGTGCACAGTAAGGGCCATGTGGATGATGAGGTCTTGGACAGAAATGAGGAACTTATTGGGAATTGGACAAAAGATAATGCTTGCTCCACCATAGTAAGGAATTTGGCTGCATTGTGTCCATGCCCTTGGACTTTGTGGAAGGTGGGTCTTAAGAGTTGTGAACCAGAATGTTTGCCAAAAGAAATTTCCAAGCAGCAAAGCATTAAGAAAGCTGCATGGTTACTTTTAACAGACTACTCTGAGTTATTGTGGCAAAGGCATGATGTAAAGCCAGAATTTAAAAGGGAAGCAGAGCATACAAATTTGGAAAATTTGCAGCCTGGCTATATGGTAAGAAGCAGAGAGCAAGAGAAAATGCAAAAGTGGAGCAGATAAACTGGTTACTAAAGACAGCTTGGAGGTGAGGCAGCCAGATGCTAATAGTCAGGACAATGGGAAAAAAGCCCTAAAGGCATTTGAGAAATCTGGAAGGGTGCCCCACCCATCATAGACCCTGAGGCCTGAGAGGACTGAGCTGTTCTGGAGGACAGACATGGGGCACAGCTGCCCTCGGGAACCAGCTCTCAGCATCCCAACTGCTCTGGCTGGAGCAGCCCTGTCTCAAACAGCTCCATGTGTGGTTTGTTTAGCAGCTATGGAGAGTAGAAGCTTGAAACCTCTATGGTGTCCACCTGGTGTTAAGTCTTCAGGCAACAGGATGTGAGAGCAGTGGAGGCATGGCAGCCTCCACCCAGATTTCAGAGGATGTATGGAAAAGCCTGGGGGCCCAGGCAGAGACCTGCCACAGGGGTGGAGCCACTGCAGAGGCCATCTACTAGAGCAATGCCAAGAGGAAAAGTGGGGTCAGAGTTCCCACAGAGAGCCCCCACCCAGAGAAATGTTTAATAGAGCCAAGGCAGCAGGGCTGCTGCCAGTACCCCAGAACTTCAGGGCCACTGGTAACATGCAACGCAGGCCTGGAAAAGCCACAGGCAAGAATGCAGCCCAGTGGACTGCACCCGGCAGAGCTGTGGAGGTTGAGCTGCCCGAGGTTTTGGGGGCCCAGATGTCAAATTGTGCCCAGGATGCAGGACTTGGAATCAAAGAAGATTATTTTGGAGCTTTAAGACATAATGTCTGCCCTGCTGCATTTCTCACTTGTTTGGGGCCTGTTTCTCCTTTCTTCTGGCCTATTCCTCCCTTTTGGAATGGGAATGTATACCCAATGTCTGTTCCACCATTGAATCTTGGCAGTAGATAAATTTGGTTTTGATTTTTACAGGTTCACAGCTGGAAGGAGTTTTG